ACCAGTTAAAGATGCTGCCGAAGCTGACCAAGTTCAGGTTGTCAATGAAACCGAATCCGCTTCAGAATCTGAGCAGCCAGTCAGCACTACCAGCAACGTGCAGCAGGCGGCAGCAGAGATCACCCCTCCTGGGGCTGATGAAGAGCCCAGCCCCCCCACAGAGTCAGCACCAGTCAAAAATCTTTGATCAGAATCTGTTTTCCCAGAGTTTTCTGTAAGTTATAAATTATTTGTGATGGAAATGTAAAAAGATGTGAGTGTGTCATTTCCTGCTGTTTCACCATGACTGCTGTTGTCAAACTAGGACCAAAAATCTAATGTGGGAGACGTTCTCAAGTCCTTTTAGACAGGTTTTAGGTTGTTTTCATCTTAATCTGAGTTCAATATGTTAGTTTTAGTCTTTGTGGTTTCATAAAAAAATATTTTTACACACTTCACAATCCACACATATACTGTATGTATAAATATTAATAGTTTTATCTAAATACTTTAGCTCAAAATGTTCTTGTTAAAAATAAAATGCTAAAACAACTATGTTTGTGTTTTCAGCTTTGTTTTTGTCTTTATTAAACCACAACAAAAAAATCCTGAATTTGTTTAGTCAAGCAGCTGAAAAGGCTTTTATTCCTAATCTCAGTTACTGGATTAATATAGGTGATGTGTGATGATTACACTGTGGAACACACAGAAGTCACACGCCAGCTGAAAGACCGTTTAATACACCATCTCAAAAACAGTAGAAAAGAGACAATTACAACATGTAGTCCTTTTTGTTCTGATGAGTAATATTTCAAAATCAGAAGTTTGTGACTGTTGAAGGCAAACTGTAACAAAATATAAGACACAACATTAAAAATGGACAGTTTCCTTCAGTTCTGCTGCATCTACTCAAACTTTCATCCAAAACTACAAAAAACATCTAAAGTTTAAAGTGCATAAAAAAATATTTTATTTTAGGTGTAAAAACGCAAAATCTACTTCTCAGATTGTCCTCACATCCAGCTGTTGGTGGGTTTTGTAGATGCTTCTCTCCTAAGCTAATATGTTATCTAAACATGCATGAGTTTAGCCTGTGGGAGGAAACCACAGAAAGCTCTTGCATGCATAGGGAGAACATGCTAACTCCCCACAGAAAGGCTTGCAGGGATTCAAACCTGCAACACAGCACGGTTTAATTGCATTAACTGAAAATGAGAGCCACGCTTATTACCCTGACACATAAAACCAGTATTTGTCATGTTCATGGTTTCAGAACCAGTTTGTGCTTTTTTAGACTCCGCTTGGATTCATTGATGAGTTTTAACCAAATGTAATAGCAAACACTTGACTGAACACGGGTTTTAGGAAGCAGCAAATTTTCTTTCACTTCTCTTCTGAGCAGCTTCTTCTTTCTCTTTTTTAGCTTGAAGAGTCAACATTTGCATCTCATTTTTTCTTTTGATTAAAGGTACATGAAGTGAAATAATCACAAATCAGTCTGATCATGTTGGAAGAAAGGTTGCACTGAAATCGATTTTCTTCTCAGCCTGGGGGGTTGACGGCTTTTATTCTCTTAGTAGGGCAGAAGAGGGGCGTAGTCACTGCTGTCTGTAAGTCTGTGAAGTTGCCGAGTCAGCAGAGCTGACATTAATTTGACACCAGCCGGCAAAATACACTTCTTTTGTGACGATCCGAAGCCAGTGACAGAAGTGACCCAAATGTTATTTCTTGTACTCGTAAGAAGCCATGGCATCGTTTTGTTTTACTTTAATATGGGGTAAAGCAGGCTAGAGGCTAACGTTGAGCTAACAATGCTAACGGCGAATTAGTAACAAAAATTCGGTTCAAAAATATACATCAAGTTACTTTCTTAATTACCAACAACTGGATATTACAGTTAGATGTATTTATCTACTTATCAACTTACTGTGTATGACTCATTTTCACTCATCATCTAGAATCTTCTGTCGCTGATCCGGAGCTGGCAACAGCCATCAAACTCAGACTGCAGTACAGGATGTCATTCTTACTCCCTTCTTACATCATTCTGCTTTATCACCTGGATCACAGTGCAAAGATATTACTCACATTTAAATGGTAAATGGCCTGTATTTGTATAGCACCCTCTAGGGTTCTACAACCCCCCAAGGCGCTTTACAACACAATCTGTCATTCACTCATTCACACACATATTCATACGTATGCTGATGGTGATTAGCTACAATGTAGCCACAGCTGCCCTGGGGTGCACTGACAGAGGCGAGGCTGCCAAACACGGACTCCACCGGTCCATCCGACCACCGCCAGCAGGCAAGGTGGGTTAAGTGTCTTGCCCAAGGACACAATCACTACAGAGCGAGTGGGACTTGATCCCACAGCCTTATGAGACAAGTACTTAACTCCTCTGCCCTAGCCGTCCACTATGGAGACAGAAAAAAAATCATAATATTCTACTAAATGTTTACATTTCCGCTCTATGTTGTTTAAAAACGTATCATAAAACTCTGTTTCAGGACCGAGGGATAAATAAATCCAACCAAACGACACGTCCCAGCATGCAATGTGTCAGTTTGATATTAAAGGTGCTAAAACATGAAGCTAATAGATTCTCCGTCCGTTTTCACATCACAGTTTTGTTGTTGATTTTAATCACTGCTGTAAGTTTTTGTTTCCTGTTTAATTGAGAAATTTTAAGGCACAACCCGTCATCTCCTGAGCTGAAACTCCTGTAGTTCAGTAGTTTAGTTTCAGCTCAAACCAAACCTGAACGTCCTCCAACGGTTTTCCAGACTGGCTCAGACAAACTGGTTCATCGTCAGGTGCAGCAGCTCAAACCAGCGCAGATTTCCCGTCTGAATCCCGTTTTCTCCCCGACTCTGTTTGGTCATGTTTGCTTGGCCGTGGCCGGACGGACCTTGGCGGACTCAGAAATGACCCGAGCGTTTTCAGTTTGAGCTTTGGCCGTCTCCGGACGGGTTTTGGACTCCTTCTTTGGTAGTGGAAGGGTAACTGGTTCCCACAGGAAGAACTCGTGCAGGAGTGTGTTGACGGCCTCGGGACACTCCAGCATGACCATGTGACTGCCGTCCTCCAAAACCTTCAGAAACGCCATGAGAAGGATCTAAAATAGAGAAATAGTAATCATTAGAGAGAGAGAGAGAGAGAGAGAGAGAGAGAGAGAGAGAGAGAGAGAGAGAGAGAGTGTGTGTGTGTGTGTGTGTGTGTGTGTGTGTGTGTGTGTGTGTGTGTGTGTGTGTGTGTGTGTGTGTGTGTGTGTGTGTGTGTGTGTGTGTGTGTGTGTGTGTGTTTTAAGGATTACACCACTTTCATCAGCTCCTCCAACACTGAGCTCATTTTAACAGCATTCTTACTCCTTTTTCCCTTTAACTGAACACCTGCAGCAGTACAAACCACATCTTCATCCCCACTGGTTTTCTCGGTCGTTACCTCTGCCATCCGCTGGTCTTCTTCTACGGGAACAAACTTGTCGTGCATCCCGTGAACCAGCAGGACGGGCGCGGTGAGCTCAGCGTGGTAAACCTCATCCCCCTCAGGCCAGTACTGCCCGCTCATCATGGCACGCAGCACGAATGACGACACGTTGAAGGCATTGTTCTCTTTCAGCAACTGCTTCTCTTTGGCACCCTGCCGAGCAAACCTGGCCCTGCGGAGGCACAGATTAAAAGGGAGCGACTGATAACCGACCCCGGATCTGAACGGCGTTCCGGGTGTTTGAAGGTTCTTGAAGGTCTTACTTCAGAAAGCTCCAGGCCAGCAGAGGGGAGAGGCAGTGAAGCACACAGGTTGGCAGGTTGAAGATGGAGCAGAGGCTGGGCTCCAGCGCTGTGGGACCGCCACCGTTGATCATCACCATCTTGTGGATCTGGTCCGGAAACTCGTGAGCCAGGAATGTGCAGAACGACACGCTGGAATGACAAACAAACGCGCCATTATCAACAATTCACCTTGCATGTTTGGACGTTCTGCACAAACTGAGATATGCTCCTGATCTCCTTCCTAAACTCTAAACGTCTAATCCTAATTTCACCCGTATGAATGTCCGATGAGAACATTCCTCTTCTTGGCGTATCTCTTAAAGATCAGCCTCATGTCCTCCGCCAGGGCATAGAACGTGTACCCAGCAGCTATGTGAGGGGTCGAGCTGGCGCCGTGGCCCGCCAGGTCCGGGGCGATCACCTCATAGCCGAGTCGGGAGAAGAAGTCCAGCTGGCTTCCCCAGATATCCAGAGACCCCCCCACCCCGTGGATGAAGAACAGAGCCAGGTCTGAGTGAGTCCCCTTACAGGAGGCTATCCTCCTCTCACAGTCGATCACCACGGTGCGTTTGGGTTTCCTTCTCCGTTTCCGGGGATGCTGCTGCTCAGTCTGTCCTGCAGCAGCTGCTCCTCCTGCTGCTCCTATTTCAGAGGCAACCACGTTGTTCCCGGCTGGGACGGGGTCCGATTGGGGCTCTGGGATGCTGACTGGAGGCGAGGAGTTTCGACAGTCTGTCAGCTCGACCTCCACCGTGCTGTTGGGTTCCGTGTCTCCGTTCTGGCAGGTTTTCAGCTCCGCGCTCGCCCTCTCGCCCAGGTTCTCGATGAACAGCTGTCCGTTACGATAAACCGTGATTTTCCTCTTGCAGCTCACGATCCCACCCTGGGAGGGCTCCTCCACCGTCGGCCGATCTGGGATGATGTGTCGAACCCTAAGTACCCGGCCCGGTTTCACCTCCACAAACTCGTAGCCGTCTGTGGGTTCAGAGGTTTCCACGGGAACCACTTTGTTGGCCGGTTTGGAGGGGAGACAGCAGAGGAGGCCTTCAATAAAGCTGGCCAGCATGGCTGCCAGTCTGCAGGTAATAAAGAGAAAAAAAGGACTGTAGATGATAAACTAGAAAACATTTGATCTGACCTTTATTATCGGTCGCTGTGTGGACAATCTAACAAGCATCACAGATACATCTAATGTCATGATCACCGTTAGATCTTTCATTTTTTCTATAAATATTAATAAAAATAAAACAAAATTGATGCTTTTACATTCAGAAACCTTTAAATTCTCCCACCATCTATAATAACCTTATTCTAAAAGTCAGACAGGTCTGGTGTCTGTACCTTCTGGCAGCTATTTGCAGCCCAAACTCTTGTGATTTTCTGTGCATCATTCCTTCCTGTAGTATTTAAGGCTATTTATAGCCACAGGCGCTAATAGCTGGCTGAGTTAAAGCTGTCAGCCATGTGAACCCTCCTGCAGCAGCACGGTTAAGACCACAGGGACACTCATGAGCAGTTATTGCACCTCTAACGCGCCAATTCTTTATTATGTAAGAGAATATAGCCTCCCTGTATAACAAAGCTTTTACAGAAAACATTAATATTTGTATAAATGATCATGATAACTAGGGATGCACCGATGCTGACAATACCATTATCGATATCGGTAAAAGTTAACCGACACCAATGCAGCTGCCTGAAAATGGCTTCACTGTAACTTGTCATTTGTGTTCACCTAATATTTTTGTTTTGTGATCATTTCTATTCATTATTTTATGTTTTATCTACCACACAGTCTTTTCCTGTTGAAAGCAAAGGAGAAAATAAAACCTGTATTCCAATTCATAGCATTTTTTTGTGTGTGTGGTAGAAGTATCAGTATCGGTAATCGGTATCGGCGAGTACTCAGATCCAAGTATCAGTATCGTATCGGTTTGGAAAAAAGTGGTATCATTGCATCCCTAGTGATAACTGCGGAAACTGAGCAGAACTCTGGTATAAGCTGAATAATCACATTATTACAACCATAATAACAAAAAGCTAGCCTCTCAAAACAGGGATTGATTTATTAAAATTTTAACCATTTCATTCAGATCTAACAGGAACAGATCCCAGTTCAGGGTATTGTTATGATCAGGTGTAGTTTCAGCTGTTTACTACAGTAGCCAGTCAGGTACGCTCTGCAAGTGTCTCTGCTGGAGGCATTATCTTACCTTCCTGTTGCTCCCCTCCCAACCAGAGGGGATTAGACTCTCCGCCTCTCTAAGACAACACAACAAATCAGACCAGCCTGGATAAACAACAGTCGTCCAGCGCTGCAGCAGCAGCGATGTCCTGCATGTCTCCAGTGAGATGCTGCTTTCATTTGAGCATCAGGGACAAGCAGCACCCCTGCTCTGCTGGCTAACACACGTGCACATCCTCTTTGGCTGCAGTGTTGTTGTGGAAGGCTGTTTGTGCTGACTGGAGGCTAGTTTGTTATCTGTCAGGGTGATACGTTGACCTCTGACACGATCCCTACATCAGGAGGAATCCTTTTATCAGTCAGACCTGACCAAAGCCTTCATGCTGATAGTCTGAGTTTCATCTTTATGACATCTGAGACGCTCTGATCTGGATATGCCAACCACCGCCTGGTTCCTGTCACCTCTCCGTTACCTGGACTTGTCCCAGTTTGTGAACACATCTGTATCTTAGTGATAAAGCAGCATCATAATACACCAGATAAACGGCGATTCAGACCAATGCATCGTCTAATTTGGTTGATTCTGCTTTTGTTTTGTCATCATTAAATATTTAAGTAACAGGAATGCCCAGACCAGGATAGACAACAGCTCAGTCAGCTCTACAATACAAAACAATTTTTATCCATGGAAGAATCATTAAAAATCAATAATACAAATTAAAAGGAGTCAAATGATGTAATTAGTATTTTCTGTGCAGTATTTGTAAATAAAAATGTTTACATCCTTGTGTTTGAACATCTAAAATGTCTAAAAATAGTTTAAATTCATCCTGTTAGACGATTTCAGTCAAATTGAGATTTAGGAGCTGAAGAATAAAGGGGCAGAGAGTCCTTCCAAGATAATTTTATTATGATTTTATTTCTCATTAGTCACTGATTCATTTTGACTTTATTTGATCCTGTTTTATTTTTGGTCTTGTTGCTGTAGCCGGTTGTTACGTAACGTTACAAAAGTCTGACACAACCACAACAACAGGTCCAGGACAAAGAATCATCAACAGAGGGTTCACGTTTTCATGTTAGCCAGGATCAATAAACTGTGTTTAAGTGTTTTTCTTAAATTACTGAGTCACTGCAGTCATTTGTTTCAAGTGGTTTTAGTGGTGGTTTCTAATTAACTGTCATCTGTGCAGCAATACACTAAAACTATAAAACACTATAACACTATAAAAATCAATCTTCTGTTAAATGAATTAAGTTTTTATTTCATTTAGTTTAAGTTTACTCTTCTCATCACATATCTGTCACTCTGATGCAATGAGCAGTTATTTTGAGTGTAAATTTGTTTATTTTTATTTGAAATATGTCATATTGAACTGTATTTATCATGTTAATTAAATGAATTTTGCACATCTGATGTTCGTTCATCAACACAAACAACACCTGATAGTTCATCTGACACTTTTTGTGTCAAATATTTATTCTCACTGGAGATAAAAACTCTTTTTCAGGAGCAGAAACGTCTAAAATCATTCAGAAATTAGACAAAACAGCAGAATTCTTACCTTCATCCAGGCGGCGTCTCCTAAAAGCCCCTATGATCAAATCTCTGGAGAAGGAGAGCTATAATCTGTGGCAGTCAATCCAATAATCTCATTTATCGGGATTGAATTTACTTTGTCACCACACGGGGGCCTGGCCAGGCTATCAGCACGTCTTTCTACGGGTCGCTGGTAGGCTCAGAAAGGCCCTCCCACGCCGGAGTTGTATGGCAACCCAATGGAATAAAAAAAAGATCCGCTTCAGGGAAGCTCTAGGTTCCGGTGTTACTGGACAGAACACCGGTGTTAATCATTGATGTTTAACCCTCAGGTTCGGAATGACTGACGCTCCTCGGACATTCTGGTTGTTTTCATTCAAGTGAAGAACTGCCTCCTGCTGCCGGCTGGTAAAAGACACGTGTTTGTTAGTGACTTGAAATTTAACACACACACACACACACACACACACACACACACACACACACACACACACACACACACACACACACACACACACACACACACACACACACACACACACACACAAAGTAAAGATCCTGCTGGAAAAGTGTGTCAGGAACAAAAGAATCTCATGTCATTTGATGAAAATTATGAACTAGAGAACTTATTTGCAAAACAGCTGGATCCGTTCATTGAAAAATGGATTACTCAGTGAGCACCAACACGGGTTTAGAGCAAAAAGAACACTTACATATGCAATTGTGGAAATGGTAGAAAAAATAGAGGCCAGGGGAAATGATGAATATTTTGTTGGGATTTTTGTTGATTTGCAAAAAGCATTTGATACTATTGATCACAGTATATTATTTTTTTAATGGGGAAGATAGATTAAGAGGAGTGGCTTATTCATGGTTTAGGAGTTATTTGGACAATAGGAAGCAATATGTAGAAATCAACAATACAATGTCAAAATTTAGGAAGGTTACTTGCGGTGTTCCCCAGGGATCTGTTCTTGGACCAAAAAGTTTTTTTTTTTTTTACTTTATATTAATGATATTTGTAAGGTCACTAATTTATTGAAATGTGTGATTTTTGCAGATGATACAAATTTATGTTGTCCGGGTAATAATTAACAGAAACTTTTGCCGTTTATAGAAAAAGAATTGGGAATCGTTAAGACTTGGTTTGATGTTAATAGATTATCAGTCAATTTAAAAAAGACATTTATGATATTTGGTAATCAAAAGGAACTTGACAGGGAAATTAACTTAAAAATATGGAATGTTGAAACTGAAAAGGTGACAGAAATAAAATTTTTGGGGGTAGTAATTGATCATAAAATGAAATGGAGACAGCATCAAGTCAGTGTCTTGATGCAACCTGCTGGGTTCCTTATATAGGAAACTATTTACTGGGCTGCATGGTGGTGCAGTGGTTAGCACTGTTGCCTCGCAGCACGAAGGTTGCAGGTTCAAAACTCTGCAGCCTTTCTGCATGGAGTTGCGTGTTCTCCCCATGCATGCGTGGGTTTCCTCCGGGTACTCTGGTTTCTCCCACAGATCACAACATGCCCTATAGGTTATAAATTGTAAGTCGCTTTGGATAAAAGTGTCTACCAAATAAATAAACATAAACATTTACTGATGTGCTTAATGAACTGACCTGTATTGGAGTGTTTACTGAAGTGCCTTGAGACGACTCTTGTTGTGATTTGGCGCTATATAAATAAAATTGAACTGAATTGAATTGAGTAAAGAGAGGGTGATGAAGGTCACATCAAAGCCTGAACAGGTGAGTCTTCAGCTGCTTTTTAAAGGAGACCACTGAGTCCACTGATCTCAGGCTCACGGGGAGAGAGTTCCAGAGTCTGGGGGCCACAGCAGCAAATGATCTGTCACCTTTGGTCTTTAGCCTGGTGCTGCACAACCAGTAGGCTTTGGTCACTGGACCTCAGGGACCTGCTGGGGGTGTAGGGACTGAGAAGATCACCAGTGTAAGATGGTGCTTGTCCATGTAAGGCCCTAAAGACCAGAACCAGGATCTTGACATGAACCCTGAAGTTGACTGGCAGCCAGTGAAGCTGGAGGAGAAGCGGGGTAATTTGATCAATTTCCCTCTGGGAATAATATTGTATTTTTGAATTGAATTGAATTGAATTGTGGGTGTATTTGGAGGACTTGGTCAGAAGCCGAACACAGGCATTCTGAACCACCTGTAGACGATTCAGGTAGGTTCTGCTGAGACACGTGAAAAGAGAGTTGCAGTAGCGTGAGGAGATGAAGGTGTGGATAACAGTCTCAAGTTCAGAGCGGGACAGAATGGGACTCAGCTTAGCAATGTTCCTGAGATGGAAGAAGGAAGAGCGAACAAGAGAACTGACATGAGAATCCAGGGTGAGAGCTGGGTCAAAGGTCACACCAAGATTCCTGACAGAGGGTTTGGTGTAAGAAGCAAGCTGACCAAGAGAGTCTCTGACTTTGGGAACCAGCTTGTCTGGGGCACAGATGAGGATCTCAGTCTTATCTTCATTCAGCTGTAGAAAGTTCCCAGCCATCCAGGTTTTAATAGAGTCTAAGCAGGTGTGTAACAGCTGCAGCTTAGACGTCTCATGGGGCTTAAAGGAGATGTACAGTTGGATAAGATTCCTTTAAAGGAGCTCAGGATGTGCTGCAGGGGAAGCAGATAGAGAATCAACAGTAGAGCCCTCAGCACAGAACCTTGTGGGACACCATGTGAGCATTGAAGCCAGTCTTAATGTAAACATTTCTTTAATCCTCTAGAAACTGCCTGCATGCTGCCATACGGGGCTGCTCATCTATGCTCTTGGGACTGTTCTTACCTTTGGGGTCTGAGTATCACCTCATGCTACCAATAAGGACCCAAGGGACAAAGTCATTTAGAATCACTAATTAAAACTTCAAAACTGCAGACCCCTTCTGCTTACAGGTAAGTTTCAAAAATATTTATTTAGTAGCTGTAATAAACTGCCATTACATTTTCAAATCTAAGATATGATACAATTGAAAACGATCATTTTTACCACCACCATTAATTTATTTTATTTTATTTATTTATTTATTTATTTTACAAAAAACGTGAAATTTTCATTTTGTACATGCCTATTAAAATAAAAGTAATTGTGTTTGGGTTACATGAAATAGGTACTCATCTCTTTGTTCAAAATAACCCAAACAATAAATCAAAACAATAGGATATGTTTAAAAATATTTTAAAGCTGGTAGTTTTAGACAATGTGCGGGGCATTTGTGTTTTTTACTTTGTGTTTGTTACTCTCCAAGTAACTTTTCTTGACTTTTAACGGAAGCTTCGTGAAACGTACAGTTGTTTAGAGTTAAATTTGTGAGATCTCTGGTGGATTTTCGCGATATTAAAACATAAAAAAACATTGTTTTGTAACTTGTCTTGCATTCACAGTTTGTAATTCAACTACAAATCCACAAGATGGCGACAGTTGTCCATCATACAAAAGGTAAAGAAACGAGCCCACTCTGTTCTGTCGTGAAACGTATCATGCCAGAAACTGGGACCTAATTGTTTTCTCAATATTGATTGGCTCTCTGGCCAAGGTTGCGTCACGTGGGTTAAAGGCTAAACCAATGACCACTTTCAAGGGCGTGGACACGTAAACGTAGCCAACATGCTAACCGAAGAAGTCATGTAAATAGCTTTAGGAGCTTTTGCAGCGACAACTTGGATTTTTTTTCTTCCAAAGACTCTGGTGACATTTATATTACAGATTGAATATATGATGGAAACAAACCCTATTGTGTAAACGTGCTGTTTACTTTGTCAAGAGGATACGTTAGTTTAGCTGTCTCGGTGAGCTAATTTGTTAGCAATCGCGGCCATCACGAAGCAGCCCAAGAAAAGCTCTCAAGTCGACGTTTGAAATTCTCCCGTCGTCATGGAGAAGGTACTCCTCACACGCCCCGCTTTGTGCTTTAATTTGAGTTGAACTTCAGATGGTACAGCGGGATGTTGATCTAGCTGACTGTAGCTAATTGTTAGCTCGCCACACCTGGTCGCCTTGTTCACGGCCGAACCCGGCTTCTATCAATGCTCCGAAACATTCAGTTCTGCCCGGGTATATTTAGATCACCTGCTGTATACTTTCACATTCAGAGCTGATCGTTTACGAGAAACCCTCGAATAACGATAGGACCCTTTTTTATGGAACTGGTCTGCTAATGTAGGTGACGCCCAGCCTTGGATTACTGATACCAACCAATCATTTAGACTTTTGACCTTTAATAACCCCATCAGCTTTCACAAAGTGCTGATGAACAAGTCATTTAACCTGTTCGGGTTGTGATCCTGGGAGATCCAACAGCACTAATCGACCCTCTCATCTTCTTTCCTCAGGCTGATTTCTTGAAAGGACTTCCAGTTTACAATAAGAGCAACTTCAGCAGATTCCACGCAGACTCCGTTTGTAAAGCATCAGTAAGTAAAAACTGGCATATTTGTCATGTTTGTCCCCTCTGCTCTAGAACATGTTGTTCTGATGGATGTAAAAAAGCCCTCAGTGTAGAGGCTGTGTCCAGAAATAGATCCACACTAATGTTCCATCAACGCTTGTGCGTTTTTATTTAACAGATTAGCTCTGGGTGCTTTTCCAAGTGTAATTTTTCCATTTGAAAGTTGGACGTAAAGCTGCTTGTTTTAAGGTTTCTGACAGCAAACAGAATAGTTTAAAAAAGAATAACACTCTGGATGTTAAATCTCACAAACATGGTGTGCATTCATAGCAGGATCAACATGATAAACACTCATCTGGGTATTGGTACAGTTATAAAAGGGATGGTAACTGCATGCGACTTCAGTTAGAAAGTATAGAATATTTTCTGTGGAAGATGATAGGAGCACTGTGATGTTCATCTTCTTTGGGTCACTTGATGATGCATTGATGATGTAACAGGATGCAGCAAAGCTGATCAGCACAGATAGACAGTGATGCTTTACTGAAAAGCAACCTGATCAGTTCAGAAGGTTAAAAAGTGGAATATGCTGCGACAGATTATTCAGTCTCAGATTTCAAATAAAAAAGAGCCACAATCAACAAAAGAAGAAAACGTTTATCTGACATCTTTGGGTTTCACGCTGCAGGATTCTCTACGCTTTTATTAGAGACTCTGGGAAAGAGTGTTTTCCAAAACTTCATTTTTTTACTCTGTTCATCCAAGTTTGACTCGCATTGAATAAAAATCCAACTTAAAAATTAGCTCTTTCTATTCATTAGAGGATGTTTGACCCTTTTTTCTTACATTTTCATGTAGAGTAATTCATTATAAATGGATGGCACGTCATCTAATATTAGCATAAACATGAAATACTCTTAAACTCCTTCTGATTTGTCTTCTAGAATCGAAGACCTTCTGTTTACCTTCCAACACGGGAATACCCATCTGAACAGAGTGAGTCTGGGAGAATACTGCAGCAACAATTTATTTATTTATTTTTATGTGGGTGGTAATCTGTTGTCCTTGTTGGTTACAGTTATTGTAACAGAGAAAACAAACATCCTCCTGCGCTACCTGCATCAGCAGTGGGACAAAAAGGTGAGCATGTGCTTGACTCTAGCCTGACTTGAGCCTCGTTTACACCAAATGGGGAATGGATGCGGTCCGTTTTCCGTACGGTTTCTGAAAAGAAAGAGGGGAAAAAATCATTGAGTCCAATCGGAGCATTCACACCAGCTCCAGATCTGGAAAGTTTCCACATGGAGTCTTTTTCCCGGATGCAGATTGTCCTAAAGCTGAAGAAATTACACGAACCAGACAGGAAGTGAGACGTGCTTTACCAAAGTGCATGCTGCACATTTCAAAATAAAACCAGTGTCACATTATTTTTGCTGGATTTTGTTTCATTGTTAATGACATCAGCGGTGTCAACTCACTGTGTGATAGTTCACGTTATTTTTACGGGAATAACCATGTTGTGTCGGATTTCTAATCATTTGGAGCTTTTTGTGGGAGCAGAAACCTGGAGACGTTCAGCACACGGTGTGAGTGACAGTCCGTCTGGAAGCCGTACGGAAACCGTTCCACGTTCTGTGTGAAACAGGCTTTAAAGTCATTGGTTACGATGATTTGTTTTTTCTGACGGCTGAAAAAATCCCATTTTTAAGCAGAATGCAGCGAAGAAAAGGGAACAGGATCAAGGAGAAGGCGACAGCCCTGCACCCCCGAGGAAGATCGCTAGGACAGACAGCCAAGAGATGAACGAGGATTCATAAGTGTGTGTGTGTGTGTGTGTGTATGTATGTATGTGTGTGTGTGTGTTTGAGCTGAGCGAGTACGCTAAAGTGTGTAGATGTAGGGGAGACTCAGACATGACAGAGAAGGTCAGACGCTACTTTTAAAAACTCTAAACTTGTGTAGTTTTCTGTCCGCTGGAGAAGTCTGATCAGTGTGAGCATTTTGTTACTGTTATAATTTTATTATAATACCTGTTATTGTTGTTATTGTTGTTGTTTATGTATGGCAATGAGCTTCCTGCCGGCCACAGTGCCCACTCTGTTTCACTGCCCACTTTTTATCCACATGGGGGGGGGCATTGTAACATCTGGGGAAACTGTTTAGATCCACAAACCCAAGACAGCACTGTGACAAGGAGCACAACGTTGCGCCAACTCTTCCTGTACCCCCCCCCCCCCCCCCCCCCCCTCCCCTTGCGTTTAAGGTCCTGCTCCGGGACTTGTGCTGGTGGGATGTAAACTGGATACTTCAGACTTAGAAAAGTGGGATTGTCTCAAATATTAGAAACGGTGAAACAGGAATCATTTCTTCCTAAAAACCTCTTAAGTTGCACAACCTGGTAACAGCACAGAATGAAAACTAATGAGCAATATAAGGAAAAGGATGAAGAAAGCTTTGTGTTGGGAGAATCTCTCATCAACACACCCATGGGTATGATGAAAGCGCCCCGTTTCCTGGTGGATCTGGTCCTGCATGTTGTTGCTTTCTCTGTTTCCTCCAGAACCAGTTACAAATTAAAGCTGGTGTTGTATTGTGTGACTTAGAAAAGGCATCAGCCAGGAGGCCTTACCATGTCTTGTTTGGATCTACTCTCCCCCCCCCCCCCGGCGTAGCTGCAGAGTTCACCTCATCGGTGTGATAAGCATGTACAGCAACATGCAGTAGCCCGCCCGCCTCCTTTCTCCTCATTCTGTTTATTACAGCATCATAAACCGCAACACTGACTAAAGCGTCTCATTCTTATCGCTGCCCTGCAGATCCTCATCAAAGCCTCCTGTTCCTTTTGTCGGTGGAAGCTGCGGTGTAGGTGGACCGTGTGTTTCCACCTGCAGGGGAAACACCCCGCTTGTTTTTCACGTTAAGCTTCTGTTCTGATAGACTGTCGGGCTACACCCGAAGCCTGGCCCATCCTGCGTGTTCGGTCAGATGTTCTTTTAGGCTTTGCTTAAATAAAGCTTGACTGAAAACTGGATGTTTTGTCATGTGGTGTTTAAAATGTGCTGTCAAACCAGAGTAGGCCGTCAGGGTCGACACTTTTCAGATGTCATCAGTCACTGATCAACAGCTCACTTTTGCTGGGGGGGGGTCTCTGGTGTGCCTGTTTCAGCACAGATAATTAGTCAGAGAAAATAGCTTCAGAGGACAGGATTTAGTCTAATTTCCTGATATTTGGACATCTCTGATTGGCTAACAGCAACACGAGTCTACCGCTGACTGTTTAATCTGCATACGTTGATGTTTTATCTCCACAAATAACACAAGCCTGCAGGAGTTCTGCTGTGTGGTGGAGTTGCTAATGCTAATGGTTAGCTTCTAGTAGTCATGGCGTTGTCTGCTGTTTACTGGATGCTAAACCAACATCCTTCCCCGTCATGAATGAAGATGGGAGTCAATGAACTCTAGTGTGACGTAGATCTGTCAGGCCTTTCTAATCCTAGAGTTTAGTCTATTTTCTATCAGAAGTTAATGCAGGAGACAGGTGTAGGAGACTACTTTCATGTTTCTCAGAGAAGGACCTCTGAAAGGAAAAAAACATCCACACCCAAAATGCATTTCAAAAGTTTTATTAACTATTTTTCAGATTTTACAAAAATATGACAAAATAAAAGAAATAAATAATCCCATTTCCCAGTATTTTTCTTTAAAAGTATTTTTTTTTTTTTTGTACATTGGAAGAGCGTTTGATGTTCTTTGAAATCAGCGAGGCTTCTGTGAAAGTGTTTTAATTTGGAGGTTGGGGCGAGGGCATTAATGTAGCTGTGGGGAGAATCTTCACATCCAAAACAAACACCAAATCCATTCCCACAGATTAGATCAACCTGAAGAGCTACAGGTGTCTGATGATGAATCAGAAGTTTGAACAGTGAGCTGCTGTCTTTATCTGAAGGATGCTGGTCCTCTGCCTGACGACTGTGATGCTGATGTTTATTTTTAAATCAGCGTTTTAAATCTATTCGATCAATAGTTAATTCAACTTTTGCAGCTGCCTCGAGTACAAAGACATTATCGTTCCATATAAATGTTAGTTTCACCTGAATAAGGCCTGCTAGCTGTGATGCAGCAGCATCAGCACACACCTCGACCTTTGCCCCCCGCTCCTTTTTTAAACTGCTTCCTCTGCACAAGTTCACAGACGGTGATGAATGAACTCCTCTGCACGCTGACGTCCTTCAGTCCCGAGTCCCAAAAGCTGCAAACTAAAGTGTTTTTTCTGAGTCTTGAGCTCAGCTAACGTTTACATCTCCGTTAGGCTGTTTTGTAACAACCCCAGCTTGTGAGATTTACACTAAAACACTGAGGATCTCTCGTTTGTAATCAAGGGTGGGAAACATTAAAAAGGACGCACTGTACTGATGGTAAAGTGGCGTTTTCACAACTGTCATCCTCTTGTGTTTCACCTCTATTGCATTAGACCTTTTTGCCTTTTTTCTATTTTTATATATTTACTTGAAAAACTGAACCGAACAGACAAGATTCAAACGTTAAAGAGGGACAAAAGACAAGAATTAGTTTCAGGGCGGCCATTTTCTTCTAAACAGGATGATCTGTGGGATGGAGGGTTTTCTTTAAGGGTCAGAATGGAGACTTAAGGGAGCTAACCGTAAAGGGCTAAAGTAATGCAGCTGAAGCTGGCGGTGACCATGTCAGTCTGGACTTATTGTATTACCACCTCAGCTCTGTTATTGCCAAAGACCTTGTGTGTAAATGCATAGCTGATGTCTCTCATCCCACAGTGCAGTGCTACGGCCTCTGACGCATTTACTGATGTGTGTTTTCTAACGCGTTTCCCTTCCAAACCTAAACTCTGCTGCTAATGCTGAAAAATGGCGTTAGGGGTTAAAGGTCATGAAAAACAAACCAGGAGGTTTAACGAGACGTTTAGGAACTGGCACCGCTTTCTTGGAGACCCCACAGAGTTGAGTACAGGTTTTTAAATGATTAATAAAAAACACTTTTAGTTGGAAAGTTTTCATACAGTTGTGTCCAAAAGCTTTCGGTGCGATCAGCTGTTTGGGATCTCGATCGTTTTTCCCCCTTTCATCTTTAGGAAATCTGTAAAAGTGATGGTCTCTCCCTGTACCGCGATATAATACGGGCAATATGTCATTTTATTTGGAGCCCCATGCAATTTTAATTGAGCGCCATTCAGCACCAACTCCTCCTTGTGACGAGAACCAGAGACGGACTGTGCCTAAATCTTTTGCACATTTCAGGTCAACAGTATTATTTATAAAATATAATATGATTAAAAAAACTATCTGCGTGAGAGAAAAGATCGTGAAAACAAGCATAATAAAAATATTCTAAAACCGAACAGAAACAGCAGCGAGGACTTTGATTTTAAATGAACAGCTTTTGCATAACGTGGTGAATCAGGCTGGTGTGGGTCTCTCTACAGACGTGTCTCTGCGCAGGTCTGGCTGGAGCGTGTAAATGAAGCACCATCTGTGTTTACAGGCGCTCGGCAGGCTTGGATGGAGAACAGCACACAACAGGCATCCGTGCTCCACTTTCTCTAAATCACCTTCATCCGCTCACTTCGGTTTCTTTTTTATTTGTCTTTTCCATTTTCTCTCGGGGGGGGGGGGGGGGGGGGGGGGTACTGGCACAGACAGCTTGGCTCAATAAGCTCTTTACTTTGTTTTCAAACAAATCCGCCACCAGAACAGTGGAAAGGCTGAAGGCATCGCCCTAGCTTTTCAAAATAAAGCTGCTGATCTATCGGGGACGAGGATGAATGGAGGGCTTTTAGGGATGATTGACTGGAATCGGTAAAGCACTGACTGATATTGCTTTTCAATTTTTCTGCTTCCAGAGAAGAAATTCTCACACCACAAAAGAGGAAAAGTAATCACTTGTGTTGCTGTAGCTTCAAAAATAAAAACAAGTTACTTTTTAGTGTAACAGGTAATCATTTCACACCACTTATCGTTTTTTTTTTTACCTCGTCTTGCTAAACCAGGCCGTTATTTTCTGTGATGCCACCCAGATGCTTACAATTTCTGACTGAGATGAAGAAACAGAGATTTCTGCTTTAAAGGCTTAAAATAGTCGAAACGCAGCTCATGCATTTCTTTTATGTATTGAAGAACAGGAAGAATTTGAATGTGAGATTTGACTCGTCATGATAGAAGGGCTTACGTTTGCTGTTTTTGTCGCTCTGCAAAAAAAAGAAGAAATTAAAGAAAGAAAAAAAAAGCTAACCGAAACAACATTGGTCTCCCGCCGTCTCTTCGCTCCCCGTACCTGCACGCATGGTTTTGGCAGCACGTGGAGGTGCATCAGGCCTCTTCTCACAGTAAACACATCAGCTCTGGGCTGATGTGTGATCGGAGATGGGTTTCGCTGTGGCGAGCCTCTAGAGTTTAGAACTGGCCGGGTCCGAGTCGGCTGTATGTCCGTTTTCAGACCCATCTCCTGGAGGGGAAGGGATCTCATCGGGAACGCCATTCAGGTCCGATCGGGATGCTTGTTTTTCAGATGTCTGTGATGATGACAATGATCCCTCTGAAGATTTTGGCCCTGGAGCTCCATTCACACAAGCTCCTCCTTCAGATTTCCCAAAGGTAAACAGTTTCCCAGGGTTGAAGGCTTTACTGGGTGACTGCGATCGCTCCTGAGAGCTGCTACCTGATAGTGAAGATGAAGAGGATGTTGCTGTGGCGTTAGCGGCTGCAGCGGAAGAGGCTGCGGGGCCTTCCTTCTTGTTCTCGGGGGACTTGAGGAACTTGAAGCCCAAAAACCCGGTATGTTTGGTCTCACTGCCGGTGGGCGACTGAGGGGAGCGGGCGCCGCCGGAGAACTTACTCTGCAGCGGGATGATCTGCTTCAGCTTCATCACGTTATTGTTTGCCAGAAGGGAGCTGGGTCTCTTGGGTTTGTCTGATCCGCCGGGCCCGCCTCCCCCGCCTCCGCCCCCAGAGCGAGACTTGTTCCCGTGATTCTTGTCATGGTGGTGGTCCACAGAGGCGTCACCTTTGCTGTCATCTCGTTCCCGCTCTCTGCGGGCCATGTGCTCCGCCTGCCTCTGCCTCTCCTCCTCCTCCCTCTTCCTCCTCTGCAGCTGCTGGTAATGCTGCTGCGCCTGCCGCTCGTGCTTCTGCAGAAAGGAGGGGAAAAATACTCACTCAGTGTGTTTACTAGCATCAGCACTAACCCAGCTAACTATTTCTAATGTTTCCACCCTTACGACAGTAGCAGCTCTGCAGAAGGACTGCAGTGACCACTCTACTCTTTCCACTGTGCAGCAGAGCTGCTGACAGCACGTTATCCAGATGTGCTGCAGCAAGTCTGAACATTTACCTTAAAGGCCTCCCTTCGCTGGTAATCCAGTTTGGCCATCTCGTCTTTGACCCAGGTAGGAATGTCAGGAATAGCTACGTGGATGACGTACTTCAAGAGGATGGCAAAGTGCTGAAACAGATGATAAAACAAACCCCTGTAGCCGAAGTACCACATCCGTACCAGACATAAAAAAAAAGAAGAAATTATTTCTCCCTGAAGAACATGCGGGCTGTAAAACTGTCCTCCTGATACGCCTGGCTTCTTTACTGGGCCAAGCCGGAGCTGGAAGCTGTTCGCCTCCTTCGGCCGCAGACAGCAGAGTGGAGAGCTGACAGGAACAGGATTTAAAAATACCAAAGGCTGGGAGGACATGGCTCTTTAAACGATCGCTAAATACATAAAACCAGATCCTAACATCAAACTTGAGCTCAGGTCCAACATCAGATGTGTTTGCTAACAAACACACACATGAGGACCACCTGTCCTAGGAGACGAGAAGCTCTACCTCGAGGATGACAATGGAGATGATGGCCATCTCGGGACTGAGCCACGGGAAGAGGCGCTGCAGCTGACCGCACTGACCAATCAGGTAGCAGTTCACTATGATGGCAATCAGACCCATGGCTTCCATCGCCGTCTGAGTAGGAGACAAAAAAAACGTGTTTCAGCTCAGCTGTGACGCTTCGTTAAAATCAGGAGGGAATTTTTATTAAATTCTGAGCCACCGGTTTTGAAGCTTTGCCACAGCAAATGTTGAAACTCTTCACATAACGATAAGATCCTTTCTGAGTTTCAGACCCACCCACACCCCATATGACACCAGCATTAGAATGTTTTATCTGTTCCCGCTAGCCGACAGCCTGGTGAGTCAGAGCGAGTCTCTCACCTGCCACTGGCCGATGCTCTCCACGCGGACTCCGAATGGCCGCTGCAGCCCGGTGCACAGCTTAAACGCATCGCTGCGGATCTCGATGATGTTGTTGATGAGCGCACACATGGCGGCCAGAGGAAACGCGGAGGAGAAGAGCACCACGTAGCCAAACTGGACAAACATCTCCTGGTAGTCGTGGAAGGTGTCCTTAAAAAGTGACAGGTGGTGTTAAAAACCCTATTTGGGTCGATTCCAACATGTCTAAATGGTTTTTAAGCTATTTTAAATTAATCTACAATAAAAAATTCAATAAAGGAAGGTTAGAAGGGAGAATAAAATGATCTCAAGCTCATATTTCACAAAACAAAACAGAGAGAGTACTCCCCCATAAATCTATGTATCCGAGATCTTTTGTTTACTTCCTGTTTATAGACACACAGCAGAATGTTTACTCTGGTGATAAAAGGAGATTTTCCTCCCAGTTTGTCTGGTGAGTTTTCCTCAGAAGCAGATATGAGATTTTTTTTTTCCTAACAGAGAAAATGTAATCAAATTGACAAAGAAGTTCCCCATTGTCTGAGTCTAAATAACGATGGAGCTAAAACAACACCCAGATTATTGTGGACTGTGAGGTTTACAGGTTGGGATTATCAGAGGATCTTTCTTACAGCATACGTCTGCATGCAGCTCTCCACCTCAGCCTGAGTGAGGGTGGTGCTCTCCGTCTCTTCAGGAGGATCCATCCAGGACTCTCGTTTGGTTTTCGTCTCTGTCTTCTCCACGCTTTGGCCTCTTCTTCTGTGTCGCAGTAATGTGCTGCTCTCAGAGGCAGAGGGCAGCGCCGCACCGCCACCACCAGCAGCAGCGCTAATTCCCTCAGTCCCGCCTCCTCCCGAGTCCTTTATATCATGGATTCCATTATCGTCGTCATCATCGCACATTTCAAACACAGAGGCTGGGTCCATTCCCTTTTCCACCATCGTGGGGCTCCCTTCTTCCAGGAAACTGTTTTCCAGGAGGGCTCCACCACATACCGGCCTTCTGTCCACCTTGACGACAACACAAACAGCCCACAACAGCTTGTGTTACTATTTTTACCCCACCACAAAGTTCAGCGGTGTGAGGACGCTGCTCGTACCTTCTCTATGAAGCTGACTTTCCTCAGCTTCAAACCACAGTCGATCAGACTACTGTCCTCCTCCGTCTCTCCTTCACTGAACCTCCCGCTGTCGGCCTCGTCCCTCTCGCCTCCCTCCTCTTCATCAGGCACTCCACATCCTCCGTTCAAACACTTCTTCTCCCTGAGAGGAGTTAAAGGGACAACCAGACGTCAGACAGGGTTGTTCTGAGGGTCTGTTCTCGAAACGCCTGACAGGCGTGGATCATAACAGCGCGCAGCACACAATGACAGTGACTTCCTGTTTGAACCCAAGCGATCGTGTTTGTGGTGACTAACACTATTAACGTAAATGATCTGTGTTAGCGAGTCTGGAGCACCAAGACCTTCGATCCGGCGGCCCCGCGCCGGGCCGGCAACCCCTCAGGCCAGGTCCTGGCGTGGTCTGGTCTGCGGGGGAGGCCTGGGCCTTCCCAGCTGCCAGTCGGCCATATTTCAGCAGCACTGAGAGCAGCAGGTCCCACACAGCTCTCAGAGAGAGCTCCCCCAGCTTGTGGCGCTCATACAGGTAAGGCTGCAGCACCTCCTTCATGTTCTGAAGGAACTGACGGATGATGAGGAGCGTGGCCAGCATCTGAAAAAGACATGACACTGAATAAGAACCTGGAAAACTAAAAAACATAAACCCCAAAAACTCATCCATTAATCAATCATATACAGGACAAATTCAAAAGACGAGAATATCGTGCAAAAGTCTATTTATTTCAGTTGTTCAGCTCAGACTGAGAGACCATCTAAAGCAGGGTATATAAGAGGGCCACATGAAACAATTCCTATGATGTTGAGGAACGAAAAGGAAAAGTTCAGTGTTTGTTCCAGAGTTGTTTCAAATGAGAAGCTCTTTCTAATTCCCCTAATTAAAACCAATAAAAGAAGATCCGGAGGACTTAGAAGCAGTCTGACAAAAACTCTGATGACAACAAACACTTTTACTTTCACTGATCCTGCAGCTCAAAGGGAAATATCTCACAGTGTTGGGTACAGATAGGCTTAACGACTAATTAAACACCATTACACCTCTGGATTACTTTTATGGTTTTAATTATTAGTTGCAATAATAAAATCGTGGCCATCTGCTCATCTGCAGAGGAGAAACCTGACTGAGAAATAAACAGAAAAACTTCTATGAGTTTTATATGAAACTCAGAAAAAAGGTGAAAGCTCAACGGCAAGGTGCACTGCAGATACAATTTATAGACAAAAGCACATGATTAAAATAAAAAATCTGGAGATATTGACCCCATTTGTTGTCCAAGTGCTACAAAGCTAAAGCCTTCAAAATAAAAGCACGGACTATGAAAAAGGAGAATACAGTCATTTGAGTTTTGACAAGGAAAGCGGTATGCCCTTAAAATGCCCTCGACCTGCAGCTGACTCTGTAACAGACACATTTTAACACACAGACAAAAACGGACAGAACTTTTACTGTAAACATCTGAAGCAGGTTGTTAAGTCGTACCTCCTTCAGGCGCTCCATGTCTTTGAGGTAGAATCCGATGTAAAAAAGGCTGAGATAAGAATTTACAAACTGAAACTGTAAGAAAAATGATGATTAAAAACAGTCAAATGTGCAAAAACTAAAGCATTACAACAGTAGATCACATCTATAGTGAGAAAATCTACTAACAAGAACCATTTTGATGATGAGATTTTTCTCATAGGCACTCTGGAGTCTGTAGTTTTCTATGGAAACATAAAAAAAACAGTCAACACTAGACGTATTAAAAATGCTAATTATTATTTATTATGATCGATCTAAAATGAGTACAAATCCACAGAGAGAGCTACAGAATCCCAAGCAGCCACCGAGAGCTCTCACCCATGTCGTTGAGCCAGCAGGCGATCTTCCTGTACACCTCGTCACATGCAGTCACAGTGATAGCTAGCATGATTTTGGGGATGAAGCGAGCGAGCCGAGGCATTTCCTTGATCCCCATCACAAACTCCTGCAGGACACGGAAGTCACTTTTAATCCCGTGACCCCACAAGTGAGAATTATGATCTGATTTTGAGTCAGCTGTATCCATAAGTTGTGTCATTCATGGTTCCCGCCACACTCAAACAGATCTCAAACAAACTGGTGATGGTGAGGGACTGACCTGCAGCTCAAAGCAGACAAGCATGACCAGGAAGACAAAGCAGAGACACAGGATGCAGATGGGCAGGCTAACCAGCCACCTGAACACCCGCCTTCGCCACGGAGGATAGTAGAACTCCTCCCGTCCCGTTATCGGACTGCAGCGCTTGATTCCCTGTGGACAGAAAGCATGAAGCAAGCCAAAAGGACAGAGAGGGATCAGAGCTGCAGCGGCTCTCACCCGGAACTGAGGCCGCGGCTCCTCCAGGGACTCGGCGGGCGTGTCCAGAGTTCCCCACTTGTAGGCCAGCTCGGCTCCCCTCCTCTTCCACCGCTCCAGGAAGAGAGTGGCCCAAACAACGTTGAACAGTGCAAACACCACGCAGCAGATGTCACGACTCGTCTGAGGGGCCCCGAACGCAAACAAGAGGAAGGTTTCTGACTGAGATCGGTCCGAGAGGCGATGATTCTGGTCAGAAAAGGTTTTCTCCTCACCTGATCTGACTCGGTAAGCATCCAAAGCACGAAACCAATCACAGCAGGGTATAGCATAGAAGTGGTGTAGAAACCCAGCCAGGCAAAATACATGGCGATCTTCACCCCGAAGTAGTCACAGATGTCATCTATGATGATGATGATGATGATGATGATAAAATATACTACAACCAGCATGAAGATCAAAAACCTCAGCAAAAGATCTGAGCTGAATACGAACCTAAAGGCTGCTTCTCACAAACAGCCTGGACCCACGACTTCATCAGCTGACCGAGGATCCGCTGCTCGTGAAGAGGAAACACCTGCTGGATCACACCTCTCGCTTTAAGCTCTGGAACTGGAAAACACACATAAGTAATAAAAGAGGAAACTCTGGACTGAAAAAGCATTACGGCACAAATAGGTGAATAAACTGGTCAAAGATGGCTCCTTGGCCGAGTGCTGCTTACTGATTGGCTGTCCCTCCAGGAAGCTGATATTATGCAGAACCTCCCCCTGTTTGGCACGTAGATTGTCCAGCCAGTATTTGATGATGTTCTGCCTCTCCTACACCACCAGGAGGACCAAAAATGCTTCTGACGGTTGAAGACACTGGGTGCGGGTGTGTGTGTGTGTGTGTGTGTGTGTGTGTGTGTGTGTGTGAGACAGACCTGTGAAGTGAAAAAGCACATCTCGCTCTCGATGTTTTCATAGATGTAGTCCTCTTCACAGGAGAAGCTTCGCGTCCCTCCGCCGAACTCGGGCTTCACCGCCTTCCTCAGGCCCACCTCCTCTGCTCCTCGCAGCATGCTGCAGCAACAGCACCACAGATGTGACTTTGTTAAAAGCTTCCGAGCGGATAATTTGTCTCAGTCTGCTCTGGTGATATCTGCCTTTGTTACTGACTGCCTACAAATCTGGCGTTACGCTGACCCTCACGCTGTTTAGCCACGAAACGTGTGGGCGGTGAGAGCAGCTCTGAGAATGATCGCATAGTAACAGCAAAGGCGTGCTGTGATTCCTCAGTTGTAAAAACAAAAAAAACAAAAAAAAAACAATTCAATTCAGTTCAATTTTATTTATATAGCGCCAAATCACGACAAGAGTCGTCTCAAGGCACTTCACATAATAAACATTCCAATTCAGGTCAGTTCATTAAGCCAATCAGAAATAAAGTTTCCTATATAAGGAACCCAGCAAATTGCATCAAGTCACTGACTAGTGTCAGTGACTTGATGCAATCCTCATACTAAGCAAGCATAAAGTGACAGTGGAGAGGAAAACTCCCTTACAACAATCCAATTTATTTTGTGACAACGCAGAAAAACTAAATCACTTCTGAAAATAAGTAATGTTATCAAAAAATGTTCTAATAAAATAACGACATGTATGTTACGCATGATACTTCTTAATCATTAATTTTATTTTGATTTCAGGATTTTTTTCACCATATTTTTTATTATAAGGGCTTACAATTAATAATAATAATAACAAACGAGCAACTGAGGTTTAAACTAAGTGGACGGATCTCTGCATGGCATAATCTTTCACATAATATCAAAGAATATTATTTCATCATAAAGCTGCACTTTAAGGTGTTCTGTGGTCTGCAGGTATTAGATATTTCACTAGAGATATACAATATATCAGCATCAGTATCGGTATTGGCCGATGTTAGTCATTTTAACATATCGGTATTGGTCTGATAATTAAAACTGGGCCGATATTAACGAACAACCCTTTCCCCCTCTGGTAGCTTTTTTTGTAATGGTTTTGGGGGGGGGGGTGTTAATGCATAATTGTTTGGTCATAAGACAGTGATAGTAATCATCTCTGAAGCATAAATGTTTGTGGCGTGTGTAAATAATAATATTATATTTATAAATAATTCTTATATTTCTGGTGTTTATTGGCAAGAATCTGGCACCTCCAAATCTGAGACCATGGTTCTCGACCAGAAAAGGGTGGCTTGCCAACTCCGGGTCGGGGGAGAGGTCCTACCTCAAGTGGAGGAGTTTAAGTATCTCAGGGTCTTGTTCACGAGTGAGGGTAGGAGGGATCGGGAGATCGACGGGCGGATTGGTTCAGCATCTGCAGTGATGCGGACGCTGAGCCGATCTGTCATGGGGAAGAGGGAGCTGAGCCAGAAAGCCAGGCTCTCGATTTACCGGTCGATCAACGTCCCAATCCTCACCTATGGTCATGAGCTTTGGGTAATGACCGAAAGAACGAGATTGCGTATACAAGCGGCCGAAATGAGTTTCCTCCGTAGGGTGGCCGGGCTCAGCCTTAGAGAAAGGGTGAGGAGCTCGGACATTCGGGAGGGACTCGGAGTAGAACCGCTGCTCCTCCGGATCAAAAGGGGCCAGTTGAGGTGGTTTGGGCATCTGGTCAGGATGCCCCCTGGACGCCTCCCTGGGGAGGTGTTTCGGGCATGTCCTGCCGGCAGAAGGCCCCCGGGTCAAACCAGGACATGTTGGAGAGGTTACATCTCCAATCTTGTCTGGGAACGCCTTGGGGTCCTGCCGGGTAGCTGGTGGAGGTGGCCGAGGAGAGGACGGTCTGGAGCTCCCTAGTTGGGATGCTGCCCCCGCGACCCGGACCCGGATAAGCGGAGGAAGATGACGACGACGAATCTGGCAATGTGATGTATACACACACACACACACACACACACACACACACACACATATATATATATATATATATATATATATATATATATATATATATATATATATATGTGTGTGTGTGTGTGTGTGTGTGTGTGTGTGTGTGTGTGTGTGTGTGTGTGTGTGTGTTTGTGTATATCACATCACCAGGCAGTGACTTGATGCAATTTGCTGGGTTCCTTGTGTAGGAGACTATTTACTGATTGGCTTAATGAACTGACCTGTATTGTTAACTATGTGAAGTGCCTTGAGACGACTCTTGTCATGATTTGGCGCTATATAAATAAACTTGAATTGAATAGAATTATATCACAGAACAGGGGAGACGATAAAACAGATTGTGATACTAGAAGTCTGACAATCTTTGTGATTTTTTTTGACTGAACTTAAATTGAAAATCTCAGGCCAGATGCCTCCAAGTGTGTCACGTCTCATCACAAGATTTTGTTTCTGTCAGAGTGCAGGCGGTAAAAACTGCTGCCACCTAGCAGTCGGGGTTTGAATTGCACCTCACAAAAGACAGTAAACGTTTGCGTGTAAATTCTCAACAAAAATTTGAGACGCTGCTTTTAAATGTAGACTCATTATTACACAAAATTGCACATATTTCAGAGTATTGATATGTTTTACATTCCTTCTTGGATGATCGAGGTTAACAGAGATAATACTGGATATCGATAATGACCTTAATTTTCATATCGGCGCAACCCCATCTTTTACCCTAAACATAAACAGTCCTGGATGAAGCTGACCCTGTAAAAGACCAACTCACTGCTGGGAGGGGACATTTCTTAAAGGTTTGGGTTAATTTAGCAGACATAATAAAATCTCAGCAGAAAAGACCAGGAGAGTGTGCTGTAGGCACCCAGTCGGAGCAGAAGAAAGAGGAAGAGATGATGCTTCAGATGAAAGAAACAAAAGCTGGAGGATTTTTGTGCAACAAAGAATTTTAAATAGTTAGAACTGTGTTTTCGCATTAAGTAGATTTGGATTTCTTAGTGAAGCTGTGCTCCAGATCTCTGGATCATAATCAACAATCCTTTCCTTTTTTCCTATGCACCTAATTTTTACAGCAGCTTATCCCAAATCAGGTCACAGGAGCAAACATCTGAGCTGAGATCTCCAGACCTCCCTCATCCTCAACTTCCTCCTCCAGCCTTTCTGCTGAGTACAGATGTGATCCAGCGCCAGCTTAGAGATTATAATCCTTTCGGTGAATTCAGATTCTTCCCCTGATCCTCCCACTGCGACATGTCTGACACACCACCCCAGGGAGGCATCTATCATTACTAAACCGCTGGACCACCTGGACTGGCCGCTTTAGATGCAGAAGTAGCCATTCTTCTCTAAAACTCTGCTGGATTATTGATGTCCTGATCTAATCTCTGCTGCACCAATTAGCATGTCAATTTCTCACTTCACTCCACTCATGAATAAGAAGACCCAAAAAACTCTCATGCAAGATATTTATCCAACTCAACCTCGGTCAAAAAGTAGATGGCTTCAGATTGAGAGGTTCTAGAGGTTTTCTGCTGTGTTAGTGCATCCACGGGATTATCAGATCTGAATCAGACAGTTGAGGACACAACAGCATGTGGCTTTGTTTTCCTTTCTTTAATTTCTCCTGATTATCCAGCTAAAATGGTAAACTCCTAAACAAACAAGAGGCCACAGTATCCTGAGTGAATACAACCCTAAAAATCTGCCCAGCAGCCCTGCAGCCAGAAGCAGATGAATGCACCAAGCACTTCCACTAATGATCCTTCCCATGCGAGCCAAACTGCTGCCTCTCTGTAGCAGCAGCTAAATCATAACTATCCTAAGGAAGTTCCTATTTAACACGGATATTTTTATCTTTTGCAACCAAAATCCAGGAGCAGCATTTAAAAATAATCCAACTCCTTGAGACAGACGTGGCTTGTTGTTTTGTTCATTACAAAGTTTGTTCTGTTTTGTTGGTTTACGTCTCGATGGAGCAGCGTTACAGCTGTAGCTTCTTCGCCTAAACTCAGCCTGGCCTGAAGAGGCGACTAAGGCACACAGACGCAGTTTAAACAGCAGTTAGTGCACCTTCTGTACCAGGTCACGACTGCTGATCTCAGATCAGAACACACGGAGTTCGTATTTTACAAATATGTAAGTCGGTCAGTGATAGAGAGCAGCTTCTGCAAAAACAAAAAGATGAATAATGATTTTTATCAGTAGACAAATGTAATCAGGGTTTCTCCTGGTTTAACTAAAATTCAAGAAATATTAAGATGCAGAGCAAAACATGTTTGCCTTTGTCTTCAGTTTTTACATAAAAAGCCTCTTTCTTGTTTGGTCTAACAACAAAAATGTCTAATAAAGTAAAAATATGTATAGGGATTTAGTATTTTTCAACATTTTTGCTTCATAAACTAAAAACCTTCTCATTCTAGATTTATTTTTTCTACTTTTCGAACACAATCTGCTACAGATGAAAGACAAATACATCTAAACGAGTAAACCTGATCAGGTTCCTTACTTCTCATAAGTAGCAGTGACGAAGAAGGCGTACACTCCGGTTTGCTTATGGTGTCGGATTTGGATGATGAGCTCTGGAATTCCCAGTCGGATGTGGTTCAGTAACCATAGTAACGTGTGGTCATCTGTAGCATCTGTGAGAGAAACAGGAAACATTAGGACATGTTTCTACAGAGCTGCAGCTCTTTTCTTTGTTGCAGAGATTGAACACGTGCTTCTTGTTTTTTAGAGTTGCGTCTGATTTCTGATGGGGCCAGACTGGCAGGTGGACATTTGACCCAGAAACGGAACAAAACTGAATTCTTTCTGCAGCACATCAGGGTTTAATTCTAGCTGCAGGATATTTACTGAATGCCACTTGCTTTCCTGTGTTCTTATCAAATAAAAGAAAAAAGAAAAATGGCTCATTCCTGCAGCTCTGCTTTTGCTTCTTTTGGCAGATGGATTGTTTCAGGTTAAGATAACGAGCATATTAAAGTTCAACAAGACTTAATATACTACTTGATATAATAGAGGAGATTATGCACATTAGAATGAATTATACAACAGTTCTCGGCTGTATAGGGTGTTAAAAAGGAAGTCTGTGGTTTCTTTTGGAAGCCTGACCTGCAAACGTCATGAGGACATCACAGTTCTCTGTGGGCACCGTTTTCATCCAAGACTTATGAGACATGAAGTGTCTCCCGGCCTGCAGCAGCCGCTTCCCGAACAGCTTGTCTGAAAGAGACGGGGAGAAGGACGAGGACAGAGTCACCTTTTCAAAGTCAACCAGTGGAAAGACGGGTGACATTTGTTACTTGTGTGTTAAAAACTCACACCCCCCGCTGTCCCGCCACACAAACAGACACAAAAGACAAATAAAACGTCCCTCACAACAGAGCCGGAGTAAATGTCACACTCACAACGTGAGACTGGTGGAAGTAAATGGGAGCCTGCAGAGGCTGCAGGTCCTACACCAGGTCAGTGTTTACATTACACACAAATCATTCAGACTGAATCTCAGGAAGAATAAAGTGATTAAACACATCATCAGATGTTAATCTGTTCCTGAGCGTTGAGTTAATGCGACTTTATCCTCCAAAGCAGACATTTCCTCTGGCTTTAGGACTTCGCCTTGACTCCTTGTTCATCAGCCCTTGACTCTACAGAGCTTGTGCTGACGCAACAGTGCAGATCTGGAGACAATGTGGGTCCAGACCACGCTCTGCTGTCAGAGGGCGGTTTGTGAAAACTGCTTCCTGCTGCTGAATAGTAACGACAGCGGCCCTGAGAGACTTCCCATCCCTCTACAGCTCTGCAATCACAGAGACGACAGCTGTGGGGCCAACCCAATCTGGAGCCGTTTTCCAAAACTTGCACACGCGTGCGTGTTCACTCTCACCACCGTAAGGCTGAAGCTGTCAGAAGTCAGAGACATGACGGGCCATAAATATCACGACACTGACAGTATTACAGTGATGCTGTGACTCCTGTGTGTCAGAGTGGAGATCCGATAAACACCGGCCACATAAAAACATCTTTGTGCTGCCGCTCGGTGTGTCCTTCTGCTTCCTGGAGGTGTGGGGTTTCAGAGGGGGAAATAACCAACGTGTTCATGCAAACGGATGCAACATAAAACGGCCGCACGCAAATGACCAGAACTTTTGCCTCAGGCATTGGACTTTGGCTTGTTTCCAGAAAAGGTCTGCTGATCCAATCCTTCATGGATCACTGTTTCTGCGGTTGGTAGCACTGCTGCTTCAGCAGGAAGGTTGCCGGTTCAGATCCAGCCTGCATGGACTTTCTGACTTAGCATGTTCTCCTCATGCATGTGTGGGATCTCCCCAGGCGCTACAGTTTTCTCCCATAGACCAAAAACACACATATCAGGCAGATTCAAGACTAAATTGTCCCTATGTGAGTGAGTGTGTGGCTGGTTGTTTGTGTGTCCCTGTGATGGACTCGAGACCTGTCCAGGGTGTCCCCCACCTCTCACTGCTGGAGACAGACACAAGCTCCCCCCGCCGACCCTTCTGAAGGGCAGTTCAGACAATAGATAGCTCACAGTTTTTTGGTTTTCAGCCCTGAAAATGGCCCGCCTCAACCTCATTTTCAGTATAATTCTATACGAGCTTCCTGTACAGCAAGAGCAATAGTCTGGTGAATGTATGAAAGCATTTAGAGACTTCCCCTGGGGTTTTTAGAGATCCAAATTATGGGATAGAGTGATATATCAGTGAGCCAACATATTGGGCCGATATTAATCACTTATATATCGCACCGGCCGATATACCTCTTTAGTAGAGCCAATTTTAAGTCAAGTACATCCGCGGGCAGCCTGCTGCTGAGTTTTATTTAACAGTATATTTACATTCCTTAAAAATACCCAATTAATAAATGCTATAGCCTTGTCAACTAACATTTTTATTTGCCTGCTTTATATTCATGACTTGGTCATTTTATTGATTTGTTTGATTAACAGTGGTGAAATTTGTGATTTTGTAAAAAATTAAGCTTCAACTGTTGGCTAAATTCAGGGTTCAAAAAGCGACCAGGTTCAGAAATGTTCTTTATCAGCTGTTGTTATTAGTGACATTTTAGCATGAAAATGTGGCAGAAAACATCTAAATATCAACCATGAAAATCTGCACCACCATCGGCCGACCTCAGCATCGGTATCGGCAATAGAAAAACCATATCGGATGACCTCTAATCCAAACATATATAAACAGAGAGGCAAGTACAGGTGATAAACATCTGATCATGCCAGTGTTGGTCTGAAGCTGGTTAGGTTTCTGATTTAAATCCAGACGGAAGATTAATCAAAAACACAAACAGCCCTCCCTGTAAATGTTAAGACTTGCCTGTTTTTTTTTAAGAATAAAAAATATAAAGTTTACAGATGAGAAATTAGTTTTTCTGTCATAATAAAGCAAAACATGACACTACAAACTTGTTCATGCACAGAATCTCCCACACTCTCAGGTACTTACTTATAGACTGTAACAAATTCATCTCACTACCCTCTGAAGAGTCCAAACAGAAACCAGAATGAGGCATTTGGAGAGGATCTTAGCTTAGAAACGAGACTGGTCGCTCAGCTGTGCTTTAGATAAAATGCTGCAGGCGCTGCTGCGACATGGCAGAAATTCTAATGAGTTCTGTATTCATCACTTAGGGGAACACACACGCACACACACGCATGCACGTACACACCAGAAACAGTGGATTGGCTTCGACACACTACAGACCTCCAATGTAATCATCCCAGTCGGTGCTCAGTTTGTTTGCATTCATGAATTTGGTTCAACATTAGCAGCATTCTTACATCACAGATTAGAGACTTATGTATGAATGAACACTGACTGGCAGCTCTGTGACTGCAAATGAGTCATTTACCTCTGAGCTCCCAGAAAAAGATGTCTCTCTAAGGTCTGGGGGACCAGGAGGTTTGTTTTACCACAAAGCCAAAGAGAAAAGACTCCAGCAGCAGCTGTGGCTGCCCATCAGTGACAGAAGGGTTACACGGTAATGAGGTACCAAACAGCATAGATTGCTGGTGATCATTGCAGTCAGTGGGTCAACCTGGACTCCTGTGTCATGAAGCAGGACAACAATCCCTGCAGGCATGGCGGTCGTCGTCTCTAAATTCAAATGGATCAATCCAACGATCCATAATTAACTAGAGCAACCTGGTAGAAGTTAAGCTTGGAAATTCTCCTAACAGTGTGAAAGAATGATGGCATACAGAGGAGGATTAGCTTCAATCGGACACAGGCCTGGGACGATAACTAACTGAGCAAATTATTGAGGATGAACGATATTATTGTCAACATTACTGAGACCAAAATAACCCCTTATGTAATACCTGTATATTATAATAATGCAACAATTAAAGTTTATTTAATATTGGAATGTCCAGAACCTGAACTTCTAAATAAATAAATAAAACAAAAAATACATCAAATAAAAAAGGACTTGCTCTCTGTTTGAAAATATTGCACCAAAAACAATAAAATAGACCCCGTCTCTCCAAATTAAAAAATCCAACAGCCTATCTAGTGTCAACAACCAAAACTGCACTACTATTATTTCTTAACCACGATATATTGAGGCTGGAAAAATTATGGACTTCATTTCATCTATCGTATGATTCATTGATTTATTGGTTATTGACGCAGCCCTAATCAGACATGTCTAAAGTACTGCCTGGGGATTGTTTGCGGACCTCTAGAGTGACAGTAAGCAGCCCCAGTTGCATTTCTAGAACGGTGAATTTATTCTCTCCAGCAGACGGCTGATGTAAAACAATAATTAACCATTTTATGTTCCGACTTATACTAATATTCTTATTTTAAAATAATGTCATGAAGTAACTTTAAAAAAATTATAAATCACCATAAAATATTTACATTTTTGTGGCCCTCGGGGAATAAACTTCACCATTTTGGCCCTTGTCTTGAAAAATCTAACTAATCGCTGCACTTTTCTAGAAATCTAGAAAGACCGTAGCAGAAGCAAAATGATTTTGCTCTGTAGGTCAGTCTAGCCACGCTACATTAGAGCCTCAGCAGGTCCAAACAGCCCCTCCCAGATGGCCGAGCTTCTCACCCTATCTCTAAGGGAGATTTCAGCCACTTGAATCTCCAATCTCATTCTTTCAGCCACTAACCAAAGCTTGTTACCATTGATGAAGGTTGGAGATCAACCAGGAAACTGAGAGCTTTGCCTGTTGGCTCAGCTCTCTCTTCGCCATGACAGACCGTTACAAGACCGCATCACTGCAGACGCAGCACCAATCCGCCTATCAATCCCCCGTTCCATCATTCCCTCACTCGTGAACAAGACCCCAAGATTAATTCCTCCACTTGGGACAGGACCTTGTCCCTGGCCTGGAGAAGGCACTCTACACTTTTCTGGCTCAAAAAAAAAAAAAGATCTCAGAAGTGGAGGCGCTTTCACATTAATGAGGAAAAGAAATTATGAATCTGAATCAGCTCAAATCTGTATCAGTAGGTCAGAGCTGTTCAGGAATAGGAAATCAGTGTCATTAAAGTACATTTTATATATAATATGCAATCGGAGGGTTGTAGGACTGATCCCGGCTCCTGGAAGAGAAGGCTGCTGTTGTGTCCTTGGGCAAGACACTTAACCCACATTGCCTGCTGGTGGTGGTCGGAGGATCCGGTGGCGCCAGCTTCAGCTCTGTCAGTGTGCCCCAGGGCAGCTGTGGCTAAGATGTAGCTCATCATCACAAGCGTTTGAATGTGTGTGTGCATGGGTGGATGACTGATTGTGTTGTGAAGCGCCTTGGGGAGTTGTATAACCCTAGAAGGCACTATACAAATACAGGCTATTTACCATTTAAGTATAATTAAAGAGAAAAGATAAGTCCTGACTGTCCTGTCGAGTGACATCATTGATATGATGTAGATCATTTCTAGTTTTTGTCCAGCAATGGAATCTGTCATGTTTGGCGTCAGGTTATATTTCCTGTCAAGGCCAATTTAAAGCTCGGCTCTTATTTTGCCTTTTTAATAAAGGGATGGTGAAGGAGGATAAAGATATGGGTTCCACTATTACATCTGCCAAGTGTGTGAAGCAAACAAATAACCCCGACCTAAAGGAAAGATTAGTAATTGAGACAGAGACTAATTAAGTTCCAACACCCAACAATTTTCTTTCCTAGAATCCTTCTCTCCACCAGCTGTGTGTTGACGTCCCCTAACAGACAAGCC